ATATAGCGCTTTTCACGTCTTTGAGATGTCTCAAAGCACTTCACAGAATATACTGTGAAGTGAATTGACTATGTATTTTGTGGGCAAAACAAGGCAGCCAATTGCGCACAGCAGTGTCCCACAAACAGTTGTGGATTGAGTGACCAAATTATTTATTTATTATTATTATAGTTATAGTTAAGGATTCCTCCACAAGGAGGCACATCTTCGCTTTCCCAGAAAAACAAATATACAGCGTTTGAAATAAATTAACTAATGAGCACCTCGCAAAAAGAAAATCCACAAAATATACAGTTACTACACTTTACAGTATATTCTGTGAAGTGTTTTGAGACGTCTCCAAGACTTGATAAGGTGCTATAACAAATGCAAGGATTATTATTATTAAAACAGGAAATAAATTGTCAAAAGCTACAATTTTCCATACTATCGTTGAGTGAATAAATTGCAGGTGCTGTGTGTGTTTACTGAGCTGTTGTTGGCATGATGGTCATTTAAGATTAAGTTTGATTAAAATTACAGCTTATGGGACAAGCGATACAGTACTTCAATCAACCCCACGTGTAAGCAAACCCTCCAAAAGCTGCCCGGAAGCTCTCAATTTACCCTTCTGAAGCGCAGTAGATATTTTCAAAGTACAGTAATCAGTAATGTGGAGCTGTTGCAGGATATAAAGGGGGAAAGAGCAAAGGCGGGTTAAGAAGCTGGTTACTTCTCGGTCTTAATAAAGAGAATCTCTTAAGATATCACCCACAAAATCAATTCACTTTACAGTGTATCCTGTGAAGTGCTTTGAGACGTCTCAAAGATGTGATAAGGCACTATATCAAATGCAAGGATTGTTATTATTAATGTTGGGAGTTTTTGTGAATTAATGGATCAAGAGGGACTACTGTACTTTGTGTGTGTGTGGGGCGGGGTTGGGGGGTGGGGGCTGATGAGTGATTGTGTGTGTGTGGGGAGGAATGTGGGTGTGGTGTGTGGTCTGGTGTGTGTGAGGGTGGATGTGGGGGGGGGTTAATGTGTATGTGTGTGGGGGGGTTGCATGTGTGGGGGTGATGTGTATGTGTGGGAGGGAGGTGATGTGTGTGTGGAGGGAGAGGTTCTGTGTTTGCAGAGAGAGAGAGGGTCGAGCTAGCTCATGAATAACATATCTGCACATGAAATTAAGGATCTTGGGGAAACGTTTACACACACACGCACATACATATACACACATGCGCGCACACACATACATATACACACGTGCCCACGCACACACACATACATACACACATGCGCGCACACGCATACATACACACACGCACACATACACACATACATACACACGTGCGCACGCATGCACACACACATATACACGCACGCGCACACATACATACACACAGACATACACTACACACACACATACACACACATGCGCGTGCGCACACACATACATATACACACGTGCGCACCCGTGCGCTCACACACACACATACATATACACACGTGTGCACGCACACACAGACACATACATGCACACACACGCACGCACACACACATACACACACGTGCGCACGCACACACACGCGCACATACATACACATGCGCACGCACACATACATACACACACGCATACATACACACACACATACATACATACATAGATACATGTCTATATGTACTGTGTGTGTGTATATATATTAAAAATCACTACCTATTTCAAACGTTGTTTTAAAAGGGGAAATGATAGGTTTCCTGGTTTTGCCAAATTTACACATCATTATGTTGGTGAAACAAAGCGCGGCTGAAACCCAGACACTGGTGTATAAGGAGAGCAGCTGAACCTGTCACTCAAGCCTCTCCCGTTAGTTTAGCTTAGTTTCCAATTGCATTCGCTCATCTAAATGTTGTATTTTTATGCCGCTCAAAGTGGGTTGTAAATTCCTATTAGTGTAATAAGTGTGACAAGTGCTGTGGGTCCAAACTAAATCTGTTGCCTTCAAGTCGCATCGTCTGAATGCTGTAGCAGCGAACTCCGGCTCTGGCTCTGGGCTATTTCCCCATCACTGTGCGCTGCACAGGAAACCACCACACCTTTATATACATGTATATGTACAGTGTGTGTATTATATACAGTGTGTGCGTATATAGTGTGTGTGTATTATACATTGTGTATGTATATAGTATTATATACTGTGTGTATGTGTAGTGTGTGTGTTTAGCGTGTGTGTATATATAGTGTATTATATACAGTGTGTGTGTGTATATATAGTGTGTGTATTATATACAGTGTGTGTATTATATACGTGTGTGTATTATATATAGTGTGTGTATTATATACAGTGTTTGTATTATATAGTGTGTGTGTATATAATGTGTGTATTATATACAGTGTGTAGATATAGAGTGTGTGTGTATTGTATACACTTTGTGTGTATATATAGGAAGGAACACGTTTAGAGAGATACAATATCTACAGTACATGTGCCTGTGTATGGATATATATGTGTGTGTTGGGGATGGTGGGGAGCATTTCTCAAATAGACTAGGGATGGTGGACGCCCCCCCCCCAATCACAGGGGGAGAGAAGCGCTCTCTTCTTCGCTCGCCTCGCAAAGGGTGACAACCCCCCCCCCCACACACACACATACATACACATGTACACATACATACGCTCCCCCCCACCCCCCCACACCTCAAGTTACAGTGAATGTCAGGGGCTCAGATCAGTTCCCAGTGGCACAGAGTGTGTGTGTGTGGGGGGATCCGGGGGTGGGGGGGGAACTCCAGGAGCCGCTCAAGTTGGTTTCAAGGTGCATTTAGCAACTCAAAAACGTGACCTGGCTCTAAATAATAATAATAATCCTCGCATTTGATATAGCGCTTTTCACGTCGGGAGGACGTCCCAAAGCGCTTCACAGAACACACTGTAAAGTGAATTGACTGTATATTTGTGGGCGAACGCGGCGCATAGCAATGTCCCACAGACAGTTGCAGATTGAAAATGACCAATTTATTATTGCTTTTGGTTTTGGAGGGAATATTATTAGGTGTGTGGAGTAAGGAAACTTGCCCAAGGTGTAAATCATTGGTTATGGTTTCAGATCATGGCACATACATACAACATACATGTACACATACATACGCTCCCCCCCCACACACACACACATACATACATTACATTCAAACACACACACACATGTAGATATATACATACACTCTCTCTCATATACACACAGATGTGTGAATGGCGTTACTTTCCCGTCTCTCATTTATCATTCCTCTCTCTCTTCCCTCTCTCCTCTCCCTCTCCTCTTTTCTCTCCTCTCTCTCTTCCCTCTCTCCTCTCCTTTCCTCTCTCTCTTCCCTCTCTCCTCTCCTCTCCCTCTTCCCTCTCTCCTCTCCTCTTTCCTCTCTCCTCTTCCCTCTCTCCTCTCCTTTCCTCTCCCTCTTCCCTCTCCTCTCTCCTCTCCTCTCTCTCTCTCTCCTCCCCTCCTCCCTCTCTCTCCTCTCCTCTCCCCTCTCCCCTCTCTCCTCTCCTCCCCTCTCTCTCTCCTCCTCCTCTCTCTCTCCTCTCCTCTCCCCTCTCTCCTCTCCTCCCCTCTCCTCTCCCCTCTCCTCTCTCCTCTCCTCTCCTCTCCTCCCTCCTCTCTCTCCCCTCTCCTCTCCTCTCTCCTCTTCCTCTCCTCTCCCCTCTCTCCTCTCCTCCCCCCTCTCCTCTCTCTCCTCTCTCCCTCCCCTCTCTCTCTCCTCCCCTCTTCCTCTCTCCTCTCCTCTCCCCTCTCTCCTCTCCTCTCCCCTCTCTCTCTCCTCCCCTCTCCCCTCTCTCCTCTCTCCTCTCCTCCCCCCTCTCTCCTCTCCTCCTCTCCCCTCTCCTCCCCCCTCTCTCCTCCTCTCCCCTCTCTCCTCTCCTCTCCCCTCTCTCTCTCCTCCCCTCTTGCCCTTGAATCCACACGTGGAAACCAGCATTTCATTTCTATCCCCAACACTCTGAACGTGAGCAACAACAACAACAGCAAAAAAAGAAAGTAATTTATATTTCCTGTTCGTCGGAATATTTCACATAGCGAACCTCGGAAAATGTCACGATTCGCAAGAATATCGACCCCCCCACCCCACATAATAATAATAATCACATCTATATACATAAATACACACACAAACACACACACATACCCTCCAACAATACCAATAAACATCTGTTTAAGAGGGTCGCACCTGCAAGTCCGCGATCAGGTCACTGGTCACATTATATATATAGATTTTTATTTCAGCGTAAATAGAATAACGCCATTCTCTCCTCAGAGCCTCTCTTACCCTCGACAGTGTCTCCCTCCTCCTCCTTCTCTCTCCCAACCCTCGCAATCTTCATTCTAACCCCAGTTACACACATCACCCTCCACATTTACATGTTAACAATTACATGTTAAAACCTTTTTAATATAATCCCCCCCAGACCCCCCCATCCCTCGCTCCGACCCCCCCCCATCCCTCGCTCCCAGACCCCCCCCATCCCATCCCTCGCTCCCAGACACCCCCATCCCTCGCTCCCAGACCCCCCCATCCCATCCCTCGCTCCCAGACCCCCCCATCCCTCGCTCCCAGACCCCCCCATCCCTCGCTCCCAGACCCCCCCATCCCATCCCTCGCTCCCAGACCCCCCCATCCCTCGCTCCCAGACCCCCCATCCCATCCCTCGCTCCCAGACCCCCCCATCCCATCCCTCGCTCCCAGACCCCCCCCATCCCATCCCTCGCTCCCAGACCCCCCATCCCTCGCTCCCAGACCCCCTCATCCCTCGCTCCGACCCCCCCCCATCCCATCCCTCGCTCCCAGACCCCCCCCCCAATCCCTCGCTCCCAGACCCCCCCCATCCCTCGCTCCCAGACCCCCCCCCCATCCCTCGCTCCCAGACCCCCCCCATCCCTCGCTCCCAGACCCCCCCATCCCTCGCTCCCAGACCCCCCCCATCCCTCGCTCCCACACCTGAAAGGATGGTTGAGGATGGACTGACTGACCTGCATATGCCCCTGGTACATGCTTACAGCAGGCGGTGTCTGTCTGTCTGTCTGTCTGTCTGTGTGTGTGTCTGTCCTCTATGGCAGGTCGGGCTGCACCGCTTTGCTGCCCTGAATCAGCCCCCGATCAGGTACAGGGACAGGACAGGCGTTACCCACAGACAGAGGTGATGGGGGTGAGAGGCGCTGCTGCTGCAAAGCATCTGTGTGTCTGTGTCTCACTGCTCTCCTCTCCTCTCCTCCTCCCCTGTGCTGTGATGTGCAGCCTCCACACTCGCAGCAAGTAAGTCTGTCTCTCTCTTCTCTATCTCTCCCTCCCTCCCCCCACGTGTCAGGCTTTCAGGAGCTGTGGACCCGCTCCTTCCCCCTCCCCATCCCTCTCCCCCTGAGCGAGTGGACCAAACCCCAAGCCGCCTGCCTCATACACTCTATACACACAGCATGACATTCCCTCCCTCCCTCTCCATCCCACCTTCCCTCTCTCTCTCAGTGGGAGACAGCCCACATGAAGGCAGGTCAGCAGTTTGCGAAATGTGTGTGTAAACTTCACATAAGTGGTTCTGACCGTAAGAAGATAAGTATTGTTAGATGACAGAAGACCAAGGTCCATCCAGTTCACCATTCACTATCCTGGCAGTCACTTGCTCATGTCATGACCCAAACTATATACTGTGGTCTGGGACATGACCTCCCCCAGGCTCGGTGTTGTGCTCCGCCACTGTCAAGCGCTCTGGGAAACTACCCCACGTGAAGGGCGCTGTGTACATGCAAGTTGTTGTTACTGTAATCCCGAGAGAATATTTTCTAGCAGAAATCTATCCAATTGGTTTCCTGAAGCAAACAACACATTTTGCTTCCACCCATCAGTTGGGACCATCCATTCAATATGATTTATGCAAAGTACGAGTTATGTCAAGTTTGTTGAAGTCGTATCATATAAGACTTGTGTAAAGTTATGTATAAATCGGATTTGATATGGCTAACGCACAACATGTACTGTAGTGATTGACTGATTGTCCGACTGCACTGATTATCCAGTGCCTTGGGACATGCTCCTGACGTGAAAGGCGCTATACACATGTACTTTTGTTGTTGTTGTACTTTATGTACAGTATGTAAAACCTAAGCAGAATTTCTTTGGTATACTTAATAAATTGTGAATTACATTCTCAATGAAAATCCCTTCCCTTTCCCACTCCCGCAGTAATTAGAAACCCGGTTGTTAGTCGATTGGTGGATCGGTTTTCCTGGGGTAATAATTCCTTCAAAATAAATAAATAAATAAATAAACAAACAAACAAAAACAGTCAATTCACTTTGCAGTTATTCCATGAAGAGCTTTGAGACGTCTCGAAGATGTGATAAGGCGCTGTGTCAAATGAAAGATTATTTTTACTATTATGTTTATTACCATTCTTTCCATTTCTGAAGGATTATTATTTATTTAATAGAAAGAATTTGTGTGTGGGGCGGTGGCTGCCAACATGACTGGCAGCAATTCTCACACTGCATTTTGCCGACAAAGGGCCCACATTCCCCAAAGCTGTGAGCTAATTACTGTACCATTAATACTAAACTATTGTATTTGTTTTTGGGTTTCTCTCTGCAAAAAAAATAGAAATCCAAGTACAGCAAAATGCTGAAAAGCTGTAACTCATAAATTGCTTGGTTTTGAATATGCAAATTTTTTGTTTAGTTCAGGGTATGATTGATTTTTAATTCAGTAAAAGTGCAGCGTAAAGCATAATGGCTGATTTGGCCAGAGTAAGGCATGTGGTTCCCACAACTGGAGAAAGGTTTAACTGAGGTTATTCCTATTAACTCTGGAACTCCATCCCACAGTCCCTTTGCCTCACTTCCTCCCTTGCTCTCCTTCAAGGCCGGTCTCAACACCCTTCTCTTTAACCGTGCCTTCGGTCGCCCTCCCACCTCTCTGCCTTCCCTCACCCCTACCCCACCCCTCCCCCATGCTCGGACCCCGACACCTGACTGTTCAGCGCTTTGGGACGTCCTCCCGACGTGAAAGGCGCTCTATAAATGTCATTTTGTTGTTGTTGTTGTTAACATCACAGGCGCCAGCCAGGCTCAGTTGGCAGCAATCTTGCCTCTGAGTCAGAAGGTTGTGGGTTAATGCCCCACACTGGGACCTTAAGCTGAAGCCCTCTTGGATGACACTCCAGTGCAGTGCTGGAGGGTCAGAAGTGCCATCCTTTGGATGAAACGTTAATCAAGTCTGCCTATTCCAGGGTTAGTTGTGATGGAGCTTATCTAAATTTTTGACTTGATGTTTTTCGAAACATGTGATTTAAATCACACATAAAGATAAATCCGGAAGACTGAAAGCACATGCTCAGCACTTTACGCAGAAAGATGGTACAGTACGGTTTCTCACTGGGAACATTAATGAGAGTCTCAAGTAGTGAGCAGTTCAAGTAAGTCAACTGGCAACGGCTAAACAGCTGAGGCAGTAAGTTGTCAGGCCCATGAATCAAGCCTGAAAAGGCAGCATGTCTGGGAGATGAGATGCCGAGCTCAGGAATCTGATTCGAGTGAGTCAGCAAGTGTCTAAACCTGAGGCACGGAGCAAGCAGGTTCAGGAGATGGAGGGTAATGCAGCCAAGATGGGAACTTGAGTGACCACAGATGGAAATCTACACCAATGTTGAAGTGGGACATAAAGATAAAGGCAATTAATAATAATAATAATAATAATAATCCTTGCATTTGATATAACGCTTTTCACATCTCCTAAATGGCTCAAAACGCTTCACAGAATATACTGTAAAGTGAATTGACTGTATATTTGTGGGCAAAATGCGGCAATTGAATTTGCAGGAAAAATTAGTGCGCAGTCTATTTAAATTCAGCCCTGTATGTTTGATAAGCCAATTATATTACCAATGTAAATCATCTGAGATGTAATGACTTTACTGTGGATCACTTTGTTTCTGAATTAAGAAATAGCATACACGATCACAACCCGCAGGTGAATTATACAGTGACGGGGAGATTTGTGATTCTGGGTAGACGGGATGTTAAATCAAGGCTAGCAGCTGTAGTATCTCAACTTCATGATTTCAATTGAACAAAATGTCAGAAACAAAAGGTCAGATTTGAATATTGGATCATTTTAATTCTAGGAATAGATGCAGCAAAAGAACATTTTTCCTCTCTTTCTACTCGGGTAAAGTTCCCACAGTCACAATAATATTTTCCATTCTAAAGTTAGGTTGTTTGTGCAGGGTTACATAGAATTACACAGGGTAACACAACAACTACATGCATTTATTAGGTGCCTTTCATTGGTAGCCTCTTGAGCTGCCATGTTTGCTTAAACACATTTCACAGCAGTTTGAGATATCCTTCTGATGTGATGCAAGGATTATTATATCATTATTATTCATATTATGTTCTACATGTACAGAAGTGTGTGTCCTAGAAATGGCTCATCTTTATTTCTAGATTATGTATTTCCAGTGGCTTTACTAGTGTATATGCCATGTTCTCGAATCTGATTTTATATTTGTTTCGAATCAACCTGTTGTCACTTATTTTTGTTTTTTTACACAAGTGAAACAAATTGTACTTTATTTGGCTGATTCCTGTGGCGTGAAAAGATCTCCCAGAATTCATGAATTTCAAAAACAATGTGACACAAATGCAGCATAATTCCCACAAAGAAAACGTTGTGAAAGGCTTCAAACTTCACCCCATAGAAGAGTGTGGCTAATTTCATGTTGCAAGACCCAAAGGCATATTGTATGACATGGAAAGTACCTGTGGTAATCACAGTCTGCTTTCTTCACAATGAACTGAAAGAAAATACATTTTATTGGGTGTAATCACTGAATTAAATTTGGATCAGAAAGGTTTCATAATTCCAGAATGATACGCTCTAATCTTTCGCCCACAAAATATACAGACAATTCACTCTACGGTATATTCTGTAAAGCTCTTTGAGATGTCGCAACAACATGATAAGGCACTATATCAAACGCAAGGTTATTATTATTTGAAGCATTAAGTCAAGTAAAATATTTGATTTCTCCCAACTCCATCCCAACTGTTCCTGATTCAATATTTTTAATTGCTTCATTCTGCCTTGCAACCGCACACATTATTACAGATAAATTATTGAATCTTTTTTTTCCAACATCTACACTTCAAATTATATCCAAACAGAATCCTGGCAACGCAGTTCAATAGAAACTATTTTCTGCAGTAGTAGAGAGAGACCAGAACAGAGATTATTAGAGCATTCTGTGGCATCGCCAGAAAGCCAACGAAAGTGAATTTCTCTGATATTGATGTTCTCTGGCACATTTAGAAAAAAGAAAGCAATCAAATGATCGGTAATCCTTGTACCAAGAAAAATATTTTTTTAGATTTTAGCTATAGAAATGGAAATGAAAACATAGGACCAGGAGGAGGCTATTCAGCCCCTTGAGCCTGTTCTGCCATTCTATTAGAGCATACCTGATCTGTAGCTCAACTTCAATTACCCACCTTTGCCCCAGAACACAATCTAAGAACGATTTTCAAGCTTTTTATGCATTGTGCTTTGGAATAAACTCTCTTATCTCGAAAGCTGTGAGGTGCTGCGTGGACAGTCAGAGTCACAGGTCTGTGAAGTATTTCCGAAAATCATCTTGAGGGAAGCAAAGCATTTGTGAAACCGCAAATAATTGGATGAAACTGGTTTCAGAGAACAATTGGATTTATTGACGGCAAACACTGTAGTGGCTAATGACAACAGTTAGGGTGCAGAACTCAGCAGCAATACAAGCACAATTGCTCATCCTAGGAATTTTGGAAGTTATTCGTACTGGATTTATTGCACAGCTGAATTATGCTGTGCTAATAGCAAACTACAATACAAAATTTCTGCTGAATTTATTTAGCTTGAAAGAATGGTCACATCACGGTGGTGCCTTAAACACTAGAGAACCACTTCCCAAGCTGGTTTAAGGAGATGTCGATGTAACTTCTTTTTCTTTCACTTTGTGAAATAAGTTACCAGAAAAGTCCACTGAAGCAGAGGTTATAAATAGCGACAAGAGACAGCGAGATCAGGTAGAAAACCCTGTGATATAAAGTACTAATTGAGGTCCATTAGATC